ACATACAGGGATCTTGAGACACATTCCTTATCCCTTAGACGGCACCCTATAGAGACGCACTAATTGAAACAGACCCCTTCCCCCATCTGTCACGTTCAAGGAGCAGAATCGGTTGCCTACCTACTAGGCGGACCCTCATTCATTATGTTTGTATAGTTTTGTTCTAAATTTGTCACGTCTTCTGTTATTTAAATGCACTTCGCTCAGCTACCCCGTGCATAATGTTAACGCACGGGGCCCTACGTTTTAGAGTTTTGTTTGTGGGTGCCAGGCACTTGACTTGGCACTCACTCAGTTCTTAGTTCCGATCGAAGTCTGTCCAAATCAATAACCCCCGCTCCGCCACCGTCCAAATGAAACGGTCTTCAGTTGCGCGCAGTATGCGCCATGGTGAGGCGCAGGTGGCGGGGCAACCCAGGAACTCGACGACGTCAAGACAAATCTCCGAGGCGCACTGGCGCTTGGCCCTGATGTTGATGCGACTTGTAGGGATGCTCGGCTGCAGTGGGTGGCCACTGCGCTGCTCGCGAGCCTGGCTGTGTTACGGCTACGTGTTACTCGCTGTGCTCGCTGGTGCCAGGGTTGCGATGTGGTGCCACTTGGTGAGGGCTTCACAAAAATCAATAACTTAAAACCTTTTTGTTGTGGCAGGACAATCAACTTTTTAAGTTAATGTGGAATTTTAATCTTGTGCAGGGTGGCAAAGTTGTTGAATCGATCGAGTCACTGCCCGGGGATTCGAAGTTCATAAGCACCCTTTTTTTGTCTGACTTCTTTATTAAGAACGTCCTCTTAATGCTGGTGCAGGTATGGTCAGCTCCGACTGTCAAGCAGAGTTGCGCGTCTGACGTGGGGTGTCTCATTTGCGCAGCGTAGAGTGGCATTATTACCATTATCATCTTAAAGCAACTCAAAGACCGGATGTAATTACGATGACAAGCAGTCACGATTGCAATGGAATTTCTTTGCAGAGCGAATAAATTCTCTACATGGATTTATCAGTGCTCTAACATGTACAGGGTGGTCTATAGACCCCTTCCTTTGTTTTGTTATCATGTACCGGATGCTGGAGGGCGGCTGGGTTGCATACTCACACGGTGAGCTACACCCAGAAAAATCGTTTCTTGTTTCTAGTAATTTTTTCCTGTGCACGCTGACTCAAGATCAAATTTACTCTTGAAACAGGCTGATATTTTCTTTCGAATAAGAGAAAAATATTATTCCAAACATAACTTTGCCTTGTTTCAATGCTGATTTTTATCTTGTGTCAGCGTGCACTTGAATCAACAAACAATTTTTCTGGGTGTACGGTAGGCAAGTCCACCCGCACGCCGGCATGCGGTACAGAATAAGAAAAATAAAGGAAAGGGTATGTGGGCCACCCTGAATATTTAACAGGCCGTTCGTACTGTAACCGAAATAGTACTTTAGGTTAGACGTAAAAATCGGATTAGTTCGTTGAACTAATTATTACTCTTTACTAGCCTAACCCCAGTATTAAAGTTAACGCTTTTCCGACGCTCTCGCTCGCTTTCTATGTGCTGCAGATGTCGATTTTATACCGTTCCCGTGATGTCAGCCTGCTGGTCAGAGCTATGTTTCTTTCAATGAAGACATTTCCCGACACAAGGAGAAAGGCCGAGACCAGAAAGGCGGCTATAGTTTGCTTTGGAATGGCTCCCCTCATGTACTGTGCTGTTATGATCTACATTGATGTAAGATTGACGACCTTACAAGAACAGCCAAGCTAAAAGTTGGCACCTTTCAGACAGTTTCCTTATGCCACAGGTACGATCCCCACAATCGCTGATGTCGTGGTTGTTTCAAATTCTCCTGGACCTGTTGCCCGTCGTGTCTCTCACCATTACCCAGGACTCGTTTTTGGCCATGGCGTCCGCCAGCATAGACTTCATGGCAGTCATCGCTGACGACGTGCAGAAGCATACCGATGGGCTGTCGCGGCTCGCGTTGTCCGCACCCGAGGCCACTCTGTGGTCGTTTCGGCCGCGTGAGATCATGTGCCTCTGCCCTGAAAAAGCCTCCGGGCGTGCTTCGCAGCCTCCTGCCGCTGTCCTGGAGTTGCGGGCGCTCAGGGTGCGCTACCAATGTGTGCACGACACCACCCACGCTGCAAACACACTCTATGGGTTTTTCAACCTGGCCTTCATCGCCTTGACAATTTACGAAGGAGCGGTGTGTTTGTACGCCGGGGTAGTGGCCCTCTTCAGCCCGGAGGAAATGGGAGGTATGAAATGTATCGCTTCAGGTCGGCTTCAGAACAGTCATTATTCAACCTTGATGAGCTTTGATGCGCAGAAAAGACGAGTTTCTCGACCAATTCACTGAAAAAAAACGTACCTTGTAATATTAGCCCTTGCACAACTTAACAAGCTGTCATGGCGAATCTTACCACTTACCAGTGACAAATTTGCGCCCTTGCTCTGGGAAAATTAGAAAGTTCACGAAACTGCTGCAAATTTAAAGGGATAAATCTGTGCTTTTAATAGTCCCTCTCGGTGAATATTGAAATGTCCTAGACTAAGAATAACTTTTTTTTTGTTTTGTTTTAAATTGTAGATATGGAAGCGTTCTTTACTTTGTTGTGGGGCACAATACTCACATCTAAGCTTATATTCATCTGCATCATCGGAGATCAAATGCGCGTGGAGGTGAGTTCGGTTAGATGATTCCTGTTCGTTGATTCCCAGTCTAAAAGTGAATCATGGATGGCTGAAGCGTTCAGTTTTGTTGTGACTCTGACATGGCTGCGGCCCATTAGCGGGTGAGGCGAGGCTGCTCTCGGTTTCGCCCTAGGGGAGCCCTATCCCCGACCACAAACCGAGAGTATGAGGGATTAGTCGCTCAGATAAAGTATATGCTGTTCCTGGTCACTTTATGACTTACATGTGTCCCCTCAAGTGAGAGTGGATTACTGCAGGTTTAGGTTGGATCGTTTGAGGTTTACTGTCACAGAGAAACTTTCTTGTAGGATTCTAGGATTTTGGCCACATTGCAGACTGAAATGGCCCGTTTTCCAGACACAGATCTTCTAAGCAAAAGAGAGGTATGTTTTATCTTTTCTGTGACAAACCGAAGACCGTGAAAAACGCATTAAAGTCGGGTCATTACTTTTCAGATAAAAAAGTTTATGCACCAGATTCACATGCAGGACATTCGATTTGGAGCTTTCGACCTAATTTATTACGATTTAGGCACTCTGAAAAGAGTAAGTATGTAAATCTTTTTACGGAAAATAAATTACCACCATCTCACCGCATCGGAATTTCTTTAGGTTATCGCCGCTGTGATGACATTTCTCGTCGTAATAATCCAATTTTCAGCTATCTCGAGGCAAGGCAGTCAGAAGCCCAACAATACAACCTATGCTAATTCTGCTTAAACGTTCAAAAATATTGTCAATGAGACGCTGAGTTAGTCCGGGGAGAAGCGTTCCCTGTTTCACACTGAAAACACTGGCAGGTCCACGCGATCTTTCAGAAATGTGAAAAAAACCGAGGGGGCCACCACTTCAATTTAGGATGTACACAGGATTACGTGATTGCATGGATTACACGTAAATTTTAGGGGATTACACATGAATTTAGTTGAAATTATGGCTCTAAAACCATTAAATTTGGACAGTGAGATGAAATTTAGTGATAATGGTCTAAAATTTGGTCAAGTATTACACGGAACACATAAGGATTACATAGGAATTACACCATCACCTGTACACAGAATTACACGAGTGGTGGCCCCCTCTGAAAAAACGCTCACCTTTGGTTATGTCGTAGGAGGATGAGAGGGTGATTGGTACTTTCTATGTATGAAATTGGATGTCAATAAGTTAGTTAACATACCAAGATGCCTAGGCTCGTTCCTTGCACTGTATTGCATGGTGTATATTATTAGTAAATCATGGTGACATAAGTATTTTTCTGTTTCCATTGCCTAAAGTGTGGTATATTCTGACCGATGCTGACGATGTTTTCCATTATTTCATGGCTGGCAACCATCCAGGTCAAACTCAAGCTGGAAACTTTGCCACTTAGTATTATTGATACCTTTACTTTTAAAGTAACATTTTACATCGACGCGTCCTAACAACATCGTATCTGCAGCGTGCCGAATACACAAGATCCAATCTGCAGCGCGCCGAAAACACAAGGTTCTATGTGCAGGGCGCCGAATACACACGATTCTATCTGCAAAACGCGGGTTTCGGGATAGCTCCAAAGAAGTGCTTATTACTCCGTATCCGCTCATTCTTTACTTAACTTTTTGCAGTCAATAATTGGACATTGGACCTTCTTTTCGTGTGGGCAGACTAGCCTGAATGTCTTCCAGTTACTTGTAAACCACACAAAGGTAAAGGGCTGCACCCAACCGCGTTACCGCGTTTTGCAGATAGACTTTTGTGTATTCGGAGCGTTGCAGATAGGATCATGTGTATTAGGCGCGCTGCAGATAGGATCTTGTTGTTAGGACGTGTTGACATCCATGAGCTGACATTGACACGCAAAGAGCAGCATAAGAAAATAAAGATGACTGGTGACTCAAAACGACTAGAATAGTTATTTGTCCATGCCGTGCACTGTGACGGGTCGAAGTAATGTACCCCTCAGCGCAAAGGCCCAGTTGATTCTTTGCCCAGCTCCCCACCATGCAACGAGCCTGGGCCGAAGATCCGGGGTCTGCAGCGGTAGCGGCTCACAATTATATGAAAAGAAAAAGGAATAATAGCATCAGCGCTGAGCATTCGCCATGAAAAATACTCGTAATAAAAAGGAAGAGGAGGGCGGCTCCTCGGGCTGACCGGCCGACAGCGTCACGCCAGACAGCGCACCATTTCTCTCTTTGTCCGACCAAATCCGCCAAACCACAGTCGAGTGAACCCCGCTGAATCCACAACACAATGGTGGTCGGCTGGGCCGGGCGGCCAGTGGGGACCAGCGGGGACCCCGGTCACTCGTTCCTGCCTAGTTAGTGGTCGTTTGTTTGTTGTTGCGCGTCTTCCGAGCATTGCCAATTTACTCGGTAAATTTGTCAAGAAAAACGCTGCGGTGGGTTCCCTGTTTCCTCGCCCTTCCTCGGCAGTGTTCTGAATTTAAAGAATGCTTTTTATGCC